TGCAACAGGGGAGTTATTTGCTCCCCGTAGCAAGTCCCAGTGAGCAACCCTTGGACCAGCTGAAGTTTCTGAGCTCTCTTCGGAGGCAGCCCCACATAGAGCATTTTGCAATAATCCAGACAGGCATGTATCACCGTAGCCAGATCTGGCTTCTCAAGGAACAGGGCACAGTTGGTGCAGAAGTTTTAATTGTGCAAAGGCCCTCTTGGCCACTGCAGATACCTGGAACTCTAGGTTTAGTTCTGAGCCCAGGAGGGCCCCCAAACTGCGGATCTGTGTCTTCAGGTGGAGTTTGACCCCATTCAGCACAGGCTGAATGCCTATTCCTGGAAGGCATCATTTTGAAGGCAGACACCACTTTTCAGGGCTCCTCTCCTTTCCAATCTCCTTACTCTCAATGAGACGGACGGCATCATTCTTAAGGCAGACACCACTTTGCTCGTCTCCATTCCCACCTAATCTCCTTACTATCAATTGTTTAAGTCCCAAACTTACTAGGTACTAGAAGTTGGTACAAAAAAAAGGAAAACAAAGTTAAAAAGCTAGCAGTAGCACAATTTCGAAAGCCAAGATTACTATGAAGGAGAAATGACAGGAGATACAAAGTGGTGATATCTTGAAATTGTGATATTTATAATGACTAAATTAATTTAAAAATTACCATTCCAGGCTCATGAATCAAGATTTTGGGAGATAAATGTTAATGCTTGCTAGGAAACCATCCATAGGGATGCCCATTACTTCACGTGACTGAAGTGATTCAGCATGGGTAAATATGACAGATCCCATGTGTTTTCCCATTTTCTCTCTCCCATTACCACGCACATTAGGAGCTCAGAAGATGCTTTCTCACCAACTCCAGTTCCCCCCATTTCCCTACAGTTTAGAGACAGTTCAGAGACAAAGCATCACGGGTGAGAGGTGAAAGCCACCTTGTGTCATATGATGGGGGTGGGGGTGGGGACATGCATGTGATGAGGTCCTTAGTGAAAAAAATGAGAGCTTAAAATAGACTCCTGAATTGCACTGGATGGCCTTTCCCCTAGTTGCCATTTATCTAATTTTACCAGGTGAGGGCACACAAAGAACTGCCTTTGAGGAGGTTTCATACAGGGAAATGTAAGTAATGCCCCATGGCTTTTAGGGCTTTATAGGCAGGTGTGCATGTATGCACATTTTTATACACAGTATAAAAATGCAGCAGGGATATCTGACCTATATATAGTTGTTACAAGGAACTAGTACATTAAAGAGCCCAGTTCAGAAAAAGCATGGCCAATGCCCAGAGACTTTAGCAACATGACTAATGTATGATGCACTCATAATAAGTCATGCATCTACAATGTGCATTAGCAAAGAGGTTTGGAGCAGAAGGGGAGAGAGAAAGCAGGTATATAGATTGTTTCTCAAGAAGAAACCTGTGATTGTAATATGGAGATAGATGTACCATATGAAAATGAAGTCCATGAATCTGAAATATTCATTAAGAGCGTCTATCAAGCAGAAAGAATGTACTCAATGACATAGTTTTGGTACCAATATGAAGACAAAGTGCATGGCAATATTTTCCCATAGGCCCTTCTTCTTGTCCTTAAGTGACTTTAAATGAGCCTGTGAAAGTAACTTCAAATAAATGTCCATCAGATCAGATTAGAATCTGCTTTGTGCAGATGAGGTCAGATGAGGTTTCGAAATAAACTTGCACACTGGAACAGGTGCTTTGGGTTTAGTAAATAAGAGAAAAAATGCCACAGTAGCCAGTTTCATCTCACCTCATGGGATGGGTGCCAGTTTCAGAAAGGGATAATTACATAGATTCATGATTACTAATGGCTACTAGTTAATCCCTTGATGGATTGTTACCTTGTCATGGTTTGTGTATTCCAGTGAACCTGTGGGTGAAGCCGTCAGAGTCACGTACTCCCAGAGGGCACTCGCGGGGTGGCAAGGTCGAAAAGGAAGAACCAGACCAAGCATGATCTGAAGTCCTCAATAGAGGAGTAGGCGAATGATAACATGGTACATGTTACAATGACCGTGAAGGCAGAAGAAGGCTGCAACAGATGAGAAGCTACCGGTCATTGGGTTAACAATTTCACTGAATGTGAACCTCTTTCTGTGAAGACTGTGTGTTGATTGGGTGTATACTGATCTCTACACATAAAATAAAATTCATGCATAGATGTCTTCCAAGAAAAAGAAAAGAAAACCAACAAAAGTCACATGAAGATCAGTGAGAGGTGATAGGGGCAGGACTGTGAAATCTGGAAGCCCCTAATCACAGAATAGTACATGGGCAGTGGATATAGATTCAGTCATTCTACCTCAAGTTTCAAGGCTGTTGAGCAGTTTGGCAGATGTATCCATGACTGAGCAGCCCTATTTAGGATCCACTCTGCTCATCCCATATGGGGAAGGGGCTATAAAAGGCATCCTAAACATAGGTTTTTTTTTTTGTCATGTCAGGAGAGTCCTGTTGTGAGAGAATTGGCTGTCTGCAAGGACGTTGCCCAGGGGACACCCGGATGATTTTTGATGTTTTATCATCCTTGTGGGAGGCTTCTCTCATGTCCCCGCATGAGGAGCTGGAGCTGATAGAGGGAGCTCATCTGCCTCTCCCCGGATTCGAACCTGCGACCTGTCGGTCTTCAGTCCTTCCAGCACAGGGCTTTAACCCACAAAGGTAAAGGTTTTCCCCTGACATGAAGTCCAGTCGTGTCCGACTCTGGGGGTTGGTGCTCATCATAGTCTTTCAATGACTTGTTTGGTGTGTTGGAGCAACAGTCCTTGATGATGAGAAGGTCTGTGAATATTCTTTGCATTTCTACACATTTTTCATGGTTAAATTTATTAGATGACATTAGGGTTTAACTATCAAAGAGGGAGGAAAACATTTTCTTTCTTCACTTCTTCAACATCATGCTTTTACATTTGATACTATGTCAAATTTTTATAGAGCTGTTAGTATGTTGCCCCATCAGGTTTTCATCCTCCTAAACTAAATAATCTCCAACTCCATATCAAGGAGATGGCTGATGGGTTTTATTCCATTTGGGGCTGGGAAGTTCTTACATGATCCAGACTCAAGAAACCTCCATTACTTAGTTCTACTGGATGTAGTATTAGCAACAGGGGAATTTTTTGTATCCATTTGAATAAACATATTTATAACATGTTTTGGGGCATAGCATCTACTGACTAATTGCCAGTACCAGACGAATGATGCCCCAATCATGCAATATTTGAATCCCCTGACATTTCTGTCTTTTCCTTCATATTACATTGACATGTCTTTCCTGAATTTAATTTCTGTAGGTGTAGAGACTAAGGCAGCCGAGAAATGTCTTTCTCTTCACTTGCTCCTCTGGTTGTAGAGGAAGTGAGAGTGTTTTTGACTCATGTTTTCTTTGTATTGTCTGCAAATATTCAGCGTACCTATTTTTTTCCTCTTGTTGACCAAGACAAATGAAAAGGTTAGAGGAATTGTTTCATTTTTCCTTCCTCAAGCAGTAACACCAGAAGTGTGAGGTGAAATGATATAGAGAAATCCCACACTGCCAGAAATGAAGCCTGTGTTTATTTCCCACACATCAAGCACATTATTGATTTCTATGTGAGTCACCGGACTCAAGCACATTGACTCAAAATACTGAGGATTTCCAACACTTTTTATTTTAATACAGGCACCTGTTGATCCATGCGTTTGAATCCAGTCACATCTTGAAATATGCCAGGTTGTACATTTCTGCATTGAGTGGATATGAATGGCCCTTGCGATCTTTCCCCAATTTATGATTATCTGATTCTTCATTATTTTTAATATCCCAGTGATAGCTATTAACAGTATTATGGTATAACTCCCCTGTCCATGGTACCAGTACCTGTGATTTCACTTGCTTGTGTAGGGCTTCTTAAGCCGTTTCCTGACTCCTTTCCACCTGAGAAATTTTTACATGACTCAGGTATATAAAATAGGTATAAAGGGAATTTTCTGTGAAATTATTACTAAAAACACCGCAGAGAAATGCTGACAGCTCTAGAATCAGTAGGTGCCTGAATTAGACCCTGTTCACTGTAGTTTTGCTGGATGTGAATTTGTAGATGCAATACATACAGCTTTCTTCACTTCTCATATGGCCATCTTATAGAATTGAAAATATCCTGTTAGGATCTTATGCTCTTTCGATGAGTGAGGAAAGCTAGCTTTAAGTATCTAATTCAGTGTTTCTCAACCTTCCTAATGCCTTGACCCCTTAATACAGTTACTCATGTTGTGGTGATCCCCAACCATAACATTATTTTTGTTGCTACTTCATAACTGTAATTTTGCTACTGTTATGAATCTTAATGTAAATATCTGATATGCAGGATGTATTTTCATTCACTGGACTAAATTTGGCACAAATACCCAATACACCCAAATTTGAATACTGGTGGGGTTGAGTGTGTGTGTTGATTTTTGTCATTTGGGAGTTATAGTTGCTGGGATTTATAGTTCACTTACAATCAAAGAACATTCTGAACCCCACCAACAATAGAATTGGGCCAAACTTTCCAAACTTCTTCATAGTACAATTGCACTGGAAGGGGAGGGAAATGAGTAGTGGGATGCACATGGCATTTTATAATAGGGATACCAGCTGCCTCTTATGATTCTGTAGTCTTCTCTTCACTAAGCCAAAAATGTCCAGCACCCTCAACCTTCCACATGTATTATGTTCTCCATACTCCTTTTCAGTCTTCTCTGAACCTGCTCCAGCTTGCCTATGCCCTTATAAAACAAAGACCCCAAATTAATTGGTGGGGGTAGAACAGGCATGGGCAAATTTTGGCCCTCCGGGTGTTTTGGACTTCAACTCCCACAATTTCTACAGTAATGATAGTCTGTTAGGAATTCTGGAAGTCCAAAACATCTGGAGGGCCAAAGTTTGCCCGTGCCTGGTATAGAGCCATGATCCATTGGAAGAAACATGGGGTGTATATGTAAGAAATGCAAAGTATATGGTTATTTATTTTATTTTTTATAGCATTGCACATCACTATTTCTCTAAAATACTATTGATGTTAACAGATACTTTACTCAGACGATCCCTCATAGCTCGAGGATTACTGTCTTCCAGATGTGGTGTCTTGGCGGTGGGTCCATAGGTGGCTGTGGAGACCTATTCTTGATTCGCATGTTCTCCCGCAGTTAGGACATAGGATTCCAGACAGAAGGCAGTCCCGATCAGGTTGGCTTGACACGCCTTCCTCTTGGCACGTTTCTCCCCTTTAGCCTCCATTTGTGCCTCTTTGAATTCTGCAGCACTGCTGGTCACAGCTGACCTCCAGTTAGATTGCTCAAGGGACAGGGCTTCCCAATTCTCAGTGTCTATGCCACAGTTTTTGAGGTTGGCTTTAAGCCCATCTTTAAATCTCTTTTCCTGTCCACCAACATTCTGTTCTTGAGTCTGGAGTAGAGTAACTGCTTTGGGAGATGGTGATCAGGCATTCAGACAATGTGGCCAGTCCAGTGGAGTTGATGATGTTCATTGACCTTGCAAAGGCATTCGACACAGTGAATTGCAGTGCTCTCTGGACCATCCTACAAAACTTGGATGCCCTGACGAATTTGTGAACATCCTTTGGCTCCTCCATGATGACATGATAGCAGCAGTCTTGGACAGCAATGGCTCCTTAAGTGACACGTTTAAGGTGGAATCAGGTGTCAAACAGGGATGTGTTATTGCCCTAACCTTATTTTCCATCTTCATTACTATTATACTTTATCTTGTTGATGGGAAGCTTTCCACCGGAGTAGAAATCATCTATTGGACAGATGGCAAGCTATTTAACCTCAGCAGACTGAAAGCCAAAACCAAGGGGACAACATCTGTTATAGAACTCCAATATGCTGATGACATCATTGTCTGTGTACGTTCAGAAGAAGACCTACAAGCCACTCTAAACACCTTTACAGAATTTTGGCCTCTCATTGAACATTGAGAAAACCAAAGTGCTCTTCCAGCAGTCACCAGCTAATTCTTCAGGTAACTAAACAACAAGCATATATTAACAGCCTGTATTCATCCCTTCATTAAAATAAGATAAGATTGTAACATATTTAAAATAATAATAGCATAACTAACTATGGATGAAAACACATTTAGAAATGTAAAGTTCAAAGGGTCACAAAATCAAAAACCGAATTACCAACAGAAAACTGAATATATCATTGTAGGCCACCAGGTGGCAAAAGTATGCAAGAGCTATTTCATGTGACGGAAACAGTAATGCCAAATGACCATGGGAAAACATTATATCATTTACGCAGAATGCCATGTTTTAGAAATGCAGCTGAGTACATTTTGCAACATTGCTGTTGTACACATCCACCAGATAATCCAGGAAAGCTGCAGTTACTAAACAATTTTGAAAAAGGTTAAATCAAGAGAATGTAATTGCAATAAGCAGACATTAATCTACATTTTAAACTACACCTTAACAATCAAGTTGAAAGGCACTTTTAATGATCTTACAGAAAGGGGATAATACTTTTCTTGGGTCCAGAAAGAATGCATAAAACGTCACATCACCAAACTTATTTTGTGTTGCTTGAGGCATATGGTGCCCTTGGGCTAAATTCTGTGATGAAAGTGTTCTGTTAAAGTCAGTGACATAGGCCCACTGCACTGAAAATTAGTCTCTGTGGTGGTTGTCTTTATGTTGATGGAAAGCTATTTGTGTGCTTTGCTTTGTGGCATAAGGCCATTTTCTCTTTGCCGCTTAAAAATGTTCATGTGGGGAGCTATTAGAAGTGGTGTCAAATAGCTGTCCATCTTGATGAAGCAATCTCGAGTTTGGTCTGGATGGTATTCTGGCTTGGGATTGTTATCATTTTTATTCCAAAGCAGTACTGCTGGTGCAAAGCAATATACTGAAAAGAGAATGCAATGTTAATATTTTTACATATTATTCCACTCTACATCTGAAGTGTTCAGGATTTTAGAGATAATTTTTTGTTGCAATTGGAAACTTTGCTTAGCTTTTCACTTGATCACCTTCTATTAGTCTTAATTGATGGAAAATGATCATAGCATCACATAATAATAATTATAATAATAATAATAATATCTATATAAATAAAAATGTAATGTTCATTTGTGGGATTAACAGAACTCAAAAACTACTGGGTGAATTTACACCAAATTTGGACACAAGACACCAAACAACCCAATGTATGTCCTTCACTCCAAAAAAACATTTCATCATTTGGGAGTTGTCGTTGCTGGGATTTATAGTTCACCTACAATCAAAGAGCATTCTGAACTCCACCAATGATAGAATTGAACCAAACTTGGCACACAGTTCTCCCATGACCAACAGAAAATACTGGAAGGGTTTGGTGGGCTGTGTCCTTTGGTTTTGGAGTTGTAGTTCACCTACATCCAGATCACTGTGAACTCAAACAATGATGGGTCTGGACCAAACTCTACATGAAGACTCAATATGCCCAAATGTGAAGACTGGTGGAGTTTGGGGAACATAGAATCTTGACATTTGGGAGTTGTAGTTACTGAGATTTATAGTTCACCAACAATCACAGAGCATTCTGAACCCTACCAATGATAGAATTGGGTCAAACCTCCCACACAGAACCCCCATGTGGGCCACAGCAACGCGTGGCAGGGTATATAGTGATATAATAATTATATATTACATGTAATATTACTAATAATATTGCAGTATAGTGGTTTATTACAATATAGTAATATATAATACTAATAGTGTGCTATGCTAATAATATAATATATGGTATGAATATATAATATTGATGATAATATTGTAAAACAATATAATACTAATAATAATAAATAATGATTATATATTTTATATTACATGTAATATTAATAATAATATTGCAGAATAGTGGTATAGTACAATATAGTATTTATTTTTATTTATTTATTTATTTAGTACACTTGTATACCGCTAGTATCTCAGCCTAGAGCGGCGACTCACTGCGGTTTACAGCATTTAAAAACAGCAATATTCAGATTAAAAAATATAAAACACATACATATATAATACACAGTATTGGGCCACCAATACAGACCAATGCATCTCTTAAATAAAAATCATAATCCAATTCGTTGTCGATAATTGCCAGTCCTTGATCAGAAACATCATCGCGTCAAATTAGCCGAACGCTTGCTCAAACATCCATGTCTTTAGTTTTTTCCGAAATATCATCAGTGAGGAGGCTGATCTTATCTCTACAGGGAGGGCATTCCAAAGCCGAGGGGCCACCACAGAAAAGGTCCTGTCTCTCGTTCCCGCCAGCCGCACCTGTGAAGCAGGCGGGATAGAGAGCAGGGCCTCCCGAAGATCTTAGGGTCCTGGTGGGCTGATAGGCCGAAATACGTTCGGATAGATATGTTGGGCCAGAACCGTAATATATAATACTAATATTGTGCTATGCTAATAATTGTAATATATTGTATGTACATGCAATATTGATCATAATATTGTAATACAGTATAATACCTCCCGTGGATTATTACTAATGTTACTAATAATATTGCAGTATAGTGGTATAGTACGATATAGTAATATCTAATACTAATATTGTGCTATGCTAATAATATATATTGTATGTACATATAACTTGTAAGCCGCTCTGAGTCTCCTTCGGGGAGAGAAGGGAGGGATATAAATGTCACGAATAAATAAATAATATAACGTACATGTACAGAGTTTTCTATTTAATTTAAATGACTGTGTAATTTCATACCACCTCTGTACCAGTGGCAGCAGTTCCTGACAAAATATGTTGAATTTATGATATGCTCCATTCAGCAGTTATCATAGAGAACCTAGCAAATGCCTATAAAGGACATATACATGGACAAAACTTTGTGCCTCTATTTCGTAAGATTCGTACATATGACGTGATATTAAGAAATGCGAGGGGCACCCACACACAAAAAAAACCCCTTAATATTCATAACACTGACCTAGGACTTATGTAAGACTCATAAGTGGCTTATATAACTCTGTTATATAAGCTGCTTTCCCCCCAAAAGGACTGGGTTTGGTTCCTCCAAAGGGTCCAAAGGAGGAGGTGAGGCCAGAGTGGAGGGAGAAGTCTTGCTCTTTCCCCAAAGGGGCAGCATGGGGGCCCCGGGGTGGGGGTGGGGAGGTCAGGATGTCTGGTTAGATGGCTGGGCAAGAAGCCCCTCCAGCACATGGCTGGCCCAGAGACAGACAGACAGAGACCACACTCACATAGAGGCTTTAACGCAGACAGACCTGGTATTCTGAAGCAAGCAGAATTCTGGGAAATGTAGTTTAGGGCGGGGCCTTTTGAATGCCCTGGCATAGGGGCCCTTGCCTTCCCAAACTACATTTCCCAGAATTCCTCCCTGAAAGGTGTTCATTCTCTAAAGGGATTTTGAGATAAAAGGGGATTGTTGGGAGTTGAATTAACCCTGTGTGGTAGGCAAAGTTGAGAGGCAGTAACTCTAAAGTTTGCCTAGTAGGTTTCCTATTATTATTCTTATTTCAAAGGCTGGAAGGACATCTGTTGGGTGTGTTCTGACTGTGTTTTTCTTGCCTGGCAGAAGGAGGTTGGACTGGATGGCCCCTGGGGTGTTCCAGTGAAATAATAGTTAGGTTTATGTTGGTTACATTTCTCTAAAAATCAGTGGATGTGCAAATCTCTGAAACTTGGGGAGAATGATGCCCTGGTTATGTTGTATCATTCAAAATAGAAATTCAAGGAGAAAGCTTTTGTAGTTTTTTAAAAAACTGTTCATAATTTTTTAAAAAATCCCAAAAATCAGTGGATGAATGAAACATTCTGGGAGGAGAGCAGTGGTAAATGTGTTCTACGCTTGTACCAAGTTTCATCTTGATAGCTCTAAAAATGAGGGAGAAAGAAGCCCTGGAAGCTTCCCCACTTGCATAATAACATAGCAAAAAAGTAACAAAAAGTTGTTCTAATTTTATATTTACAATATGGATCTTTTATGATATTTTAGAAACACTTTAGAAATGATTCATCCCCTTCCCTAATTTAGTAATGTGTACTGAAGTCTTTTTTTTTCATTGAATGCAGAGGCCTAATATATATGCATACAGGTTGAGCATCTTTTATCTGGTCTTCTCAAATCTAAAATACCCCAAAACCCAATATAGTCCACATGAGTGGTTGAGATAATGACATTTTTATTTTCTAAAGGATACTAGAGACAAAGTTGAAGTACTTTGGCCACATCTTGAGGAGACAGCAAAGCCTAGAGAAGACAATTATGCTGGGGAAAGTGGAAGGTAAAAGGAAGAGGGGCCGACCAAGGGCAAGATGGATGGATGGCATCCTTGAAGTGACTGGACTGACCTTGAAGGAGCTGGGGGTGGTGACGGCCGACAGGGAGCTCTGGCGTGGGCTGGTCCATGAGGTCACGAAGAGTCGGAGACGACTGAACGAATGAACAACAAATGGTTCCATGTACATAAACTTTGCTTAATGCACAAAAAATATTTAAAATATTGTATGCAATTACCTTCAGGTTAGGCATATAAGGTGTGTTTAAAACATACATGAATTTCATGCTTAGACTTGGGTCCCATCTCCAGGATATCTCATTATGTACATTATGCAAATACAACAATTCCAAAATTGAAAAAAAAAAAATCCAAAATGCAAAACCCTTCTAGTGCCAAGTATTTCAGATAAGGGATAACCTGTAGTAATGTCATTCTATTCTGCTTTCCTTATTAGAAATACTGTGTCCTTTCTATGGAATCTTGGATTTTGTAGGTTCGTGATGTATTTTTAATTTTTGGCTACAAAGCTTTAGTGTTTCAACACTCAAGAGCCTGGATTCCAGAGAACTGAGCCATGGCTGCTAAAGGGATATCAAAGTGCTGTAATTGTGTGGTGTGAGAAAGATGGCAAAGTTATTTTAAGACTATTGTTTTCACTGAAGTGCCCTCAGATTTATGTTAGAGAAAGTGAGAAGACAGCGGAGGCCTCAAGTGTCTGGGCCACAGCTGTTCTTAAATGGCTGCAGATACATCACCCTGCCTCAGACGGAGGACTCCTGGCTTGCCTTAAACAACTCATTACTTCTCATTTGTGGTGATGTGCCCATCTCTCACCTCTCTTCCAATTATTTCAGTGGCAGTGAACCAAGACAAATAAAGTGGAGCAAGTGACTAGCGGGTTGGCGGAGCTTCACTCAGAGGCACAGAGCTGCCAAGGCCGTGGGGTTAAATCAGCTGCTGTAGTTTTAAAAGGGCTGCTTTAGAGGTTGGGGTTGGAGGGTTTGTAGTATTTGGGTTCAGGGGTAAAATGAGAAGGACATATTGTGCTTGGTCTCAGTCATAGGAACTGATACAAGTAAGGATCTCCTGAACAAGAGTAGTTGGTGTTTATTTGCACTGTTTATTTTATTTTGTTACTTTATGTATATTGTTGTGATGTAATTTTTCTGTTGTTTTGTGCTGAACTTTGCTGTATTATTTTTGGGCTTGGCCTCAAGTTGTTGGTGTTGTTGTTGTTGTTGTTGTTGTTGTTGTTATTATTATTATTATTATTATTATTATTATTATTATTATTATTATTACCTGGCCTATTTTTACAGCAGCACTAATGTAGAACTAATTAAAAGGCTTTAAAACAGAATAATAAGAGGAAAAGTAGAGCACACTTTATTGCACGGTGCTTTTGCATTAAATAAATGGAAGATCTCTATCTGCTAGCAGAAATTTGGAAAGGGTAGCTCAGCCTGGCAGCAACTGTTTAAAAAAACTTTGTCCTGCATTGTCATCCAAATCCTGATATGAAAGTGGGAGTGAAAGTGAGGATCTCAACACTTAGTTATATAAGGAGATTAAGGACCTTATCTCACCCCCCCCCCCCAATTTAAAACATTTTTAATCCATTGAGGGTACCATTTATGAAGGAACTCTTCCCACAACGCAAGGGAACTTCTTGTCAGCTCCATCATGATTCATCAGTGAAACGTCAGAAACAGTCATAAAAAGGGGAGTGGGGAGAAGAAAGTCTGGAATAGTGTTCTGGACTCAAGAACCGTGATATTCCATTCCAAAAGTATGAAAACAGGTGGAGAAAGAGCTGTCAGAATTACCTGCATTGAATCAAATCTATGACGTGGGCAGTCTTGTGGGTGGTCTCCTAACCAGCAGGGTGTTTCTAGGAGTCTGCCATAATGTAGCCAAATTAAAAGTAATGGTAGCAGTCCTCAGTTGCAATTCTGTAGATGCACTAGACTAGTGGAACAGTGGGATAAGAAAGCTGTGGGTGAAACTCTTGTGAAGAAATGAAGGTACTAGTAGTTGGGGGGCTACTTCAAGCCTTCTAAAAGTAAGATATGAACCTGTAAATTATAATGCTCCTCATCTATATTTGAGGAGTAGCCGTTTCCAAGCTTTTGCAAGTTATGCACCACCTTTTAAAATAGACATAACTTTGTATTGTAAAACTCTTTCGTGGCCGGAATCACTGAGGTGCTGTGTGGTTTCTGGGCTGTAAGGCCGTGTTCTAGCAGCAATTTTTCCCTGTCTTTGATTAGTGTTTAAGGCACAGATTGAAAATCATTTTTTCCAATTTGTTCACGTTTTAATTATCTACTTATTCAAACTGCCATGGAGGGTATTCAGGAACAAAACAAAGATAAATCTTCTTTTATGATGAGAACGTTAGAACTGCTTTAATCACACCAAAGGGTAGTTTCTAATTACCACCTGATAATTAAAACTTGTCAAGAAGGTAATCACTCTGTATTGAAATAAAGCAAAATACAAAATTTACAAGAGAGTGATACATTTGTTGCCCAATCATAAATGCACAAACCACACCCGACGAGCTTCCAAAGCTCCACTGACTTCTTCATCAGGTAAAAGAGGGTTTTCTAAAATTATGCAAGAGAAAGGAAAAGTGATGATGTTGGATTCACAGGCTTACATTTTGTATCTGCTGCTGTAGTTCAGTTGGTATAGAGGAATCTCAGTGCAGCAGAGGCCATTCCCTTCTTGGTCATGTTGGGATCAAGGAAAAGGACAGTAAAATCTAAACTTCATTAGCAGTTATAATGTAGCTCCTCTTGGGATCCAAGAGTATCTTTGTCTTGGCTGTCCTAGTGTCCCCTCTCATTTTACAACCCCAACTCCTGGGCTGCATTTGCCCATTTTTCAATTTTGAAGATAAAAAAAGGCTATTTTTTCCACCTAATGGCTTAGGGTTTTCCTAAGAACATCAAAAATGGGAATTATACCCTGTCAAGTTATTTGGCAATGAAGGAGGCTTCAGTGGAAACCTTGGCAGACCTAAAGAGTGCCAAGTTCCCATCTTTGATTCAAATTATCTGACAATTATCTGATACCATCTTAAACTACATGAATTTAATTGGTGTGCATATTTGTTTGTAAATGACTACGGAGGAGAAGCTTATGGTTTATTATAACCACATAGCAGAATTAAACTTCATCTCCCCAATGATTTTTTTTCCAATTTGTACTAAGGGAAGCTCCATTTGAGACCTCTTTCAATGTTCACAGGGTTGGGATTCTTTGATAATCATGTTTGGGTGAAAGGATTAAACAGCTCAGCTCAGATCTACCCCCTCCCTATTTATATTTCTGAAAACCCACTATATTACATCTAGAAGATGCCAGAAGAGATAAGCTCTGAGTGTGGACTCTTTTATCTTATCTGCTAACAATTAGTAATCTTTAATTTTTTGAAAAACTAGACAACCCAAACTTTTATGTTTGATGACAATTGCAGTGTCCTTAGATAGTTCATGTAATAAGCATTGAACAATGACACATATATTCTGTTGTCCTAAAGTGACTGCCAAGATTTACCATTTGATGACTCAAATCTTAGTGCATCTAGATGATAATTTCTCCCTCAGCAGTTTAACTATTATGGCATCAACATTTATTTTCAGTAAATTTGGCTTTCCCATCTTCGTTACAAATCACAGAAGTACCATATATATTCGAGTATAAGATGAGTTTTTAGCCCTTTTTTAGGCTGAAAAGCCTCCCTCGGCTTATGCTTGGGTCAAAGTTATTTATAATTTATTCTGTTGTTGTTGTTGTTGTTGTTGTTATAGTTATTAGTTTACTCTATTATTATTGCATTTATTATTTTACTCTATTATTATTGGTATTATTACATTTTCATTATTTTACTCTATTATTTTTATTATTTTACTCTATTATTACATTTATTATTTTACTCTATTACTATTATTGTTATTATTACATTTACATTATTTTACTCTATTATTATTGTTATTACATTTATTATTTCACTCTCTTTATTATTATAGGAAGGGTATGTAAGCACATTTGCAGTGAAGAAGGTTAGAATAATGGTTTAATCAGAGTTGGGCAGTCTTATCTTAAATTACAGTTTTATGTAAATATTCAAAAATGTTTAATGTACTGATAACTCAATTAATGTAATTTTTGGTATATATTTTTATTTTGAAATTGACCAGTAGCTGCTGCATTTCCCACTCTCAGCTTATACTCAAGTCAATACATTTACCCAGATTTTGTGGGTGCCTTGGCTTATATTTGGGTCAGCTTACTCCAATATATATGGTAAATCTCTTGGCTTTCTGGACTGCAAAAAAGGTATACATTCAGCAATACACATGTATGCTTTCAACACTGGAATTTCATGTAAAACTGCTAAACATTAAAGACAGAACACACATTAGAATTGTCACTGAAATATGTTTAGCCTTCTTCAAAATCGCAGTGACTATGATGGGTATCCCAGGTGTTTTTGGGTATTATTTTTCTGACCCTTTCTAATTTGGTCTTTTCATCTAAATACTGGCTTTATATGAGAGACAAAGAATTCCTTTTTATATAATAATAATAATAATAATAATAATCATCATCATCATCATCATCATCTTTATTTCTATACCGCCCTATCTTCCCGAGGGGACTCAGGGCGGTTTACAACAGAAAATTGGCAAACATTCAATGCCTGCATAACATAACAAACAAATCAAATCATAAACAATAAAATAAACAACATCAGGTGTACTTATAGAAAAAACTCAAAAATAACAAACTTAGACATTTAAATATATAAATCAACCATTTAGAACATGTTTACTACTAGATGAAATAAAGCAAACAGTTAAAACATTAAAAGTAAAAAGGCATTTACAAGTCAACAGGGCTGAGGTGGTGTCCAAATCAGAGTAATTAAGGGGCTGGCCGAATAAAATTATGTTGCACAATTCCACAAGTTAAAAAGGACTTATAGGGGTTTAGTTACCATCCCCCTCCCACACCCACCTCCCCATAATATCCACCCCTATTCTTTATGCTCTCCCAGAGATTCCCAGATCCTCACAATTAAGTTCTCTGAATATGGTTGCAACCTGGTTATGCAACCCAGTTCTTCATGGGGGGTATAAACTGTGGTATGAGGTCCTTGAGGAGGCAGATTTTTTCTCGTGATGGTGAGGTGTCTCTATCCATGTTGGTAAAAGTCCTATAGTGCCAAGATCTTATTGATTGGCTTAACATAGTTGGATTGCAAAGCAGGCTCTGGGTCCAGTGCTGGCTGTTGTATCTGCTGCTGGCGTCAGGTGAGATGGCACAGCTGTGGGGGCCATGCCCAGTATGTTTGGAAAGGCTGGCCCCAGGCAGGAGTTCTAACCCTCTGGCTGTTTCTGCCGCTCAGCAAAGACTAAAGATGAAATTATGACATCTAAGAACAGTGAAAAAGAAATAGCTTCTGAAGGTAGTCAGTTCTTTCTATGTTGGGAGAAATGATCAACCAGAGAGACACTGTGTGAATTCTAGTTTTTTTTTGTCAGCTCAATGAGAAAATGACTAAGACTAATGTTGTGCTAATGCCAGCAAAATATAATACATCGAGATATTGCGATCCCGTGTAATTGAAGTTCAGAGCAACAGTGTAGGAAATGTGCTAAATATCTTTGCCACATTGGTTTCATTCTGAATGCATAGTTGAAATGTGGTGCCATTTTAAGGACTCAGCTCACATAATTTTAAAGTGAATTTTAATCCTATCTTGAGAGGTTCTAGTGCTGACTTATTTATATTCTCTATTAATAGTGAACACCAATATAATAAAAGTGGGTTGCTGTAAATTTTCTGGGCTGTATGGCCATGTTCCAGAAGCATTCTCTCCTGATGTTTCTTATGGAACATGGCCATACAGCCCAGAAAACTCACAGTAACCCAGTGATTCTAGCCATGAAAGCTTTCAACAACTCAATAAAAATGATCTACATATATACTTAGGTATGAAGAAAGATGTTTTGGTGATCAGAAAAATAAGAATTTCATATAAGCCCAAGATGGATATTCAAGGTGCCTTCTGGCATTGTACCACTAGTCAACAAAAAGAGATAATGATATGAAAGAAATTTTTAATTTTTATTTTACATATTTATACATAAAACTTTCAAGGTAGCTCTTTCAACCCAACTGCATGTTAATAGCACATCTAAAAATGAATGTCAGGTAGTCAACATTCACAAAATGTTGAAAACTGATTAAAATATACATATTACTGAAAGCTACGACTTCACTACAAGGCAGGCATTTATGTTTGTTCTTCTTCTTTTACTTGTATAGCACCGTCAAATTACAGTCTCATTTTTTAAAAACTATGGTGGGACAATAAAAAGTAGTCAATGGTAAAATACTGCTTTAACTTAAAAGTCTCTAAATCAACAAAAATAAAAGTTAAACTATCCTCTCTCTTCTTCTTTCATGTTTGCAATGTTTATAAGTACTGTACATTTTGTTCTACAATAAGGTTATTAAACTGTCCAATATTTAGTGGCACGAGTAAAAAACAAAACAAATAAAAACCCAACAGCAAATAAATTAAAAAGCATAGGCCAATCACTGGACATAAAGCTTCAGACATCGGGAGCAATTCACCAAGCACTGGTGCGGTGCGTCCACCATTCGGTTCAAAGGGGGGCTTCGTGCAGGGTTCCTTGTGCTTGGCAGACGGCGCCCGGGATCAAGGACTAACACTGGTTTCCTTGTGCGCCACACGAGGAGCATCGGCGTTTGTACAACCACAGAAGCAAAAAAAGTTCGAGCTCGTTCTTTAGTCTGATGGCTTCTCTTTTTATTTCGTTAGCATTTTCTCAGCCATGTGCTTCTGCTGACTTTCAGCGTGTCTGATGGAGGAATGGGAAAAAAATAACATGATTGTAAATGAACTTCAATATTAACTGTTGCCCCGAACTTATAGAGATTCATATCTAGAAAGGAAAGAAGGACTGTGGTGATTAGAAGTGTGTTTTGTTACTTCTGCTGCAATTACGAAACCTGCTTAAACCAATTGTCTCTGTCACCTGCTCTGAACTAAAAACTAAATTCAGGAAAAATATTTTGGAAAAAAGCCTGAAACAGTAATATTTATTTATGTAATTTATATGCTGCCCTTCTCACCCCAAAGGGGACTCAGAGCGGCTTACAAGTTATATGTAAATGCAATATATTATATTATTAGCATTGCACAATATTAGTACCATACATTCCCATATTGTACTATACCACTATACTGTATTATTATTAGTAATATTACATGTAATATGAAATATATAATTCTTGTATTATTATTAGTATTATATTGAAATTATTATATTGTATTATTATTAGTATTATAATATTGAAAGGAAGCTTGTATTTTAAGACAAAGAAAAGGACACGTTTAATTTCCTATACCAATTAAATGTTTTCCTCTTACCACGACCCAAGGAAGTTACAATGTGACTGCAGCCTGGAACTGAGTTCCTTCAATTGTGTGGCAGAATTTCAAGATACACAACTTATTTCAATGGAAAGTGTTACAGAGGCTATCTGCATGTATAAATTACACAACCCAACAACAACAAAAAAATGGTGCCTGGTTTTTAGGCCTGATCCTGATGTAATTTGGGGTGCTGAATCAGAAAATTGCATTGGATAAACTTCGTCAGCTCTATTTTCTTAAATATGGTCATCATGATTTTTTTATTGGTAAGTAGATGAAGACTGGCATATGGAATATGTTCTGTATCTCAAAAACTAGAGCTGATAGGGAAAAACTGGTTACATTTTTTAAAATCAGCAGGTTAAGTATATTCAGAAACAGGTCTAACATTTGAGGCATTAAAATGTCTGTTGGCCAGAGTTAGCTATTTAAAGGTTCACTGACTATGGAGTCAAACATTTTCAACATGAGAAAGTGTTTTCAAGGGACATTGGAAGGGTCATCATTTCCCCTCCCAGCATATCCTACTTCATTGAGGATAACATGGAACAGTGACAAGACATAAATCATGCATACTGCCCTTAATTCTAGCTGAACATTTTGGTAAATTCATCTTCGATTGGAATTGAAATTTATATGCCACCCGAGAAAATAAACTGCATCAAACCACTTCTAGGAACAAACCAGTTTGTGTTTCCAAGCAACTCCAAGACAACAGGCACCATCCATTTTGGGATAGAGATGCTTTCTTTTAAAAGCACTGATATTTGGCCAGCATACATTTTAACAATGCATTATGTATGCTCTTCATTGAAGACAGGGATGATTCTTTTCACCGATGATCTTCAGGGGAAAGAGAGGATCTCCATCCATTTTTTCATGTCAGGAGTGACTTGAGAAACTTCAAATTGCTTCTGGTGTGAGAGAATTGGCCACCTGCAATGACATTGCCTAGGGATGCCTGGATGTTTTACCATCCTGTGGGAGGCTTCTCTCATGTCCCTGAATGAGAAGCTGGAGCTCACAGATGGGAGTTCACCCTGCTCTCTGGATTCGAACCACCGACCTTTTGGTCCTGTCAGCACAAGAGTTTACCCCATTGTGCCACCGGGGGCTCATCTCCATCCATGGGCAAAGTGTTTCAAGAACAATCACTGCTACCACATAGTAACATAAAAACCTGTTGTATTCTAAAGCAGATACTGGTCCATCCAATACAGTGCTGGTAACAATTGCTGACAGAAGTTTACCAGAGTTTCATACAAAGAGAGTTTTTCCCTTGTACATATGAGTTACAGTACTTGTCTTTCTTCCAGTAAGCCTGATGCAGTCTACATGGTTCCTTCACATGTTAACCTTACTCTAACCTTATGAGGTAGGTCAAGCTGAGAGAAAATGGATGGACCACAGTCACCCAGTGAGTTTCATGGGTGGTGTAGGGACTAGAACCTAGATCCAAGCTCAGGATCAATATTGTAACCACTCTGCTAGTCAGACATTTATCCCAACTAGGATATGCTGAGAAATTAACCTGAGATTTCCTGTATGCAAAAGCATGGTTCCCCTAATGAGCCATGGACCCTCTCCATTTTGTGTCCATACAAGATACTTTACTGCCTGAATTTTACTGATAGACTCAGCGTTGAATGATAAGTCAACACATAGGCAAATCCCTTGAGTCAGTGGTTTTCTTCTAGCTGGAACAGATAGGATATATGCTCTCGTTCCCCCTTTCCTTTCACAGTGAGAATAATTCATTACTGCAGCAGTTTAAAGAAATGTTACATATGGTTTCCTTTTTGCAAGCCGTCTGGCCATGATACATTGATGGTCTGAAGTATCTGCTGCATGTTTGCTGCTGAAGATGCAAACAACTGGCAAGATACACATTCCATTGCATTACAAGGGTACGAACCAGCATAATATTTGTGCGAGAGCATGCAAATGCACACGTTACAAATAAGTCTCTGATAGACAGCCAGAGAAGACTTGGTCAACAGCTTTTTAAGGTTGAGGATAATATCAGGCAGAAAGACAAATGTGACAACACACAAGATTGTGTGTTGTCTATACGGCAAACTTTCCTAAGCTACAAAGCAGAGGAAAGGCATCAACTTGATTATCTGATTGCTGGAAAAGTGTTTATATTTTTCAGAAAAAACTATGCAGCATGTCAATTTATGATCCCAAATTAATGCATTAACAGTCACCTAGCAAAGTTTGGGATTTGTTGCTATGAAGATGAAAAGCCCTCACACCTCCTTGCAGCTAACCTTCATTGGGGAAGAAGATGGGCAGCTGGCTGAGATCTGGGAGCTGCATGTGCTGCTCAGCAGACCTTGAATTGTTAACATCCCACTGCATTGTCCCTATTCCATTTTTAACTTTTTTTCCCAACCAGCCAGTTTTACTATGTAGATACCTTTTTCAAATGTGGATGTAAATCTGCTGTCACCTTTTCCTTTAGAAAAAGGGCTTCCCTTGGCCTGAAAGTGTCTAACTATCTCCCCAGATTCCCAGGAGTGGAAACCACTAGAGGGCACAATAACAGCCTTGGAAAGTTTCATACAATTGATATCTGCACTTTCCCCATCTCTACTCTAGGATATAAGAAACCCTTCTAAGTAAGTGTGTTTTTCCACTTAACCCAGCAATCCCTTATTTGATTGGCAAGGTCTCTCAGTCAGAAAATTTCCCACCACCCTCTTCTTAAGCAACGGGGTATTTTAAATGGAAATCATTCCTTCTACCACTGAGTTCTCCTTCTTGCAGACTTGATGCTTCCACTAGTTAAGACATCCTAATGGTAGCCATGGAAACTGTGCCATATTCACTGCTCTTATTGTGATCTTGTCATGTCCATTGGGCTGTAGCATGCAGGATTTAGAGTTACTAGAGGTAGTGTAGCAAGAGCCAAATAATGTGCATTGTGGCTATATGTGCATAACACACTTGAATGCACAAGCAGCATTAACTGACATTGAGGGCTAAAGTCATCCTGAACATAAACCTACAAAGCTCTAAAAGGGATTTATGGCAAATACATTTCCATCACCAGGTTTTTGGGGGTGGGTTTTTCCCCTGGGTCTTCCAGCAATATGGAATGGCATTTAATTAGGACTGCAACAGAACAGGAAGAGAATTAACTTTTCCTCTTAAGATGCTGTGTTCCTGATAGATCCCCAACACATTTCCTATCAATTAAAATAATGTGTTATATATGGTTCTTTTCTGTTTATTCTTTAACTTCAAGAAGAGATGTAATGTAGAGGAGGAATGGGAAATATGTGGCCCTCCAGAGGTTTCTAAACGGCTTCACCTAGCAATCTTTACCACTTGAGGTTCAAATTAAGGGTCAAGAGTTCCACTTCAATAATATCTGAAGGGTCACAGAACTCCCAGCGTGATCTCTATCTGATCTATTGTTTGATTTCTCTCCCTCCCACTCCATCTATCTGTAATTCAATCTATTTCTTAAATTGGGCAGCCTAGATTTGCCAGATGTGAACTGTGACTAGCAGCTGAATCAATGAAAGATGCTTCTGTGATCAGTTATTGAATGCAATTATTGTTCACTGTGTTGTCTTCACAGTGAACTCTGATATACATGAAGCACATGTAATCTCAACCATTTCATTATGTTTACCCTAAGCAAACACAAGGTGGGCTAAGATGAGAAATGGTGCCTTGCAACGTGTCCTCATCATCTTGCTTCAAGTATCACAGAATCCGCAAGGAGAAAGAAGCAGTAGAAATGATACTCTAGATCAGTGGTTGTCAACCTGTGGGTCACCAGATGTTTTGTACTTCAACTTTCAGAAATCCTAACAGCTGGTAAAGTGGCTGGAGTTTCTGGGAGTTGTAGGCCAAAACACCTGGGGACCCACAGGTTGAGAACCACTGCTCTAGATCAAGGGCTATTTACTATTTACTATTTTGCACTACCATTCCCCATATTGAGAGATATTGGACATGTTGACCGGAGGATTCTGCAATTGGTGGTTTGAAAAAATAATGTTTCCAAGCTTGGTCAGAATTAGACAGGTGGCAGGTGTATGGATAAATATAAGCAAAATATTCTTGCAATATGAAGTTACTGTCTTCTCAAATGTCTTGGCAATGATATCTTTTGCGTGATGAAAAGTTCAAACAAAACCTTTTGCAGCTCCCAAGCTGCCGTGTATTTTGAAAAAATGTTCAAAAAGTGTGCAGGAAAAGAAAAAGGGAATTGGAAAAAGGCACACAGTCAGATATTTGTTGACCACTGAAGGCCTTATACAAATGGATGACTTAAGGCTTCATTCTCTGTGTTAAGGCAAGGAATTAATCACGGGGATGCTTTCATAAATACCGATAGTGCTAGTAATATCCTGCATGGTAGGGGAAAAGTCGGGCTCTAGAATTCATTTTCTGGGATTAAACAGTGGATATGTCAGTGCAGTGGATATGCTGACAGATATCGCATAGTATAAAAGGGTGATTTAGCCTTTCTTGTTGCTGCATTATTGGAGAACCCTCCCTAAACAGCCAATCAGAAAACGTGACAGCAATCTGGAACAGAGGGTGACAGAAGACTGATATAAGGAGAAGACAAAGGTGCAAGGGTCTGGATTAAAAAAAGATCTTGGTAAATTGAGGTTTTACTGTATTTTACCTTGTCTCCAGCAATGGTGCTAAATGGTATTGAAAGGGGGCCGCACTGTAAAAGAAATATTGCAGAAAAAATACATGTGTTTGTTTTGTTTGAGTTAAGTTTCATCTCTGTCTGTAGATGCTAAACATATCTCTTGGCACAGGATGCGAAGCATTCACAAGAGATAACCAGCAGGAAGGAAAACAAAAGTAATGCATATTAGATTATTTCATAAGGTGCTAAAGCAATAAAGGGAACTCCATCCACCCAACCAACCAAGGCTTGTATCCTTTTCCTTATGGAGGATGTAAATAGTAAAATGCTCCTCATAGCATCTAATTTTTTTCATTAGGTTGCACTCTAAAAAAAAAATGAAATCACTTCTGGACAAGAAACATGTATAGTATTTAGGAGTCGGCACTGTTATTCATCTTTCACTCCGACAGCTTGCAATTGGTCAAAGTATACCAGAAGGCTATTCTTTATCAACCTTCCAAGTCCTGAAATCATGCTTGAAACCGATGTAACCGATTTTGGCTCCAGAAGATTTGCCAAATAGTATCCCAGTCCCAATATTGTCTGGTAGCTTTTTGTATGAGGGGCATGCTCAATAATAGGACATGCTGTGTATCCAATAAAAGTAAGGAAGGAGAAAAGGGATTATAAGATCTCCAGAAAAGAAAAATTGGGGAAAGAAGCAAAAGTTAGAAGAAAAGAAAATGGCAGATACATGACTGAAGTAGGAACTGAATGAAGTTGAAATCACTGAATAGCTGAACCAGTAATCAATAGAGATTGGCTTCACAAAGGGAAATTCTAAAATGAAGCAAGTTTTCATATCCGTTTTTAGAACCAATTTCCTTTTTTTCTTCAGACAAAATTCACCCAGCTTTATGTTTCTTAGAGATAATAACTTTCCCTAGAGAAAAGAGCTCCAAACCATCTTATTGGAAGCATCTAGATGAAATATCAGCCCTTAGATGCTGGTTTTCAATTGGTTCAGTAAATCAAGAAGCTTCATTAAGCATGTGATAGGAGAGGGTGAATCACATCGAAATGTTCTACTGTCCAAATCTGCAGTTTTAAAGGAAAACCAACCAACCACCAACAGTTGGAACAAGAGGTGCTCATGTGCTTAAAAAACAGCAAAAAAGCAAAGCCATTAATGCAAGAACAGCTGCAATAGCCAAACTCAAATGGGTGCACATTTAATGGTATAAGCTTGTATTAAAGCTGGAGCCAGAATCAAGTAATTATTAGACTTTGAAATTACTTTCCCAGAATGGGTGATGAGACACTATTGTTTCTTTGTCCCAGCCGTTTTGATACACTTGATTCATCTTGCGGTTAATCTAATTAATGAATAACTTTTCCTCATTTCACCTTAACATATGGGGTAATGACCTTATATGGAGCCAGCCCAAAATCTGTTCAATATCCAATCTCATAAAGAGTTCTGGAAAAAGAACGGATAACTGTACTTTATTTTCTTGCTTCTTGGCTGAGATCAATGATAGCCTTATCATAATGTGGATTGCAGGATATGATCTAAGATGGAACTAATTAGAAAATATTTGACCTCTATTTCAGTTGAGGACACTTCAGCATCCAAAATTCAAAGAGCTGTATTTCCTGATTCAATCTCATGCCACCATCAGCCTTAAAACAGATTGTAACATATTGCCAACCTGGTCAAATCTTCAATGTCTACCAACATAGCATCCTGTTCTGTGTGCAATTCATCTCGAATAAGCAGCAGTTGCACCAATTCTTCATTCAAGCCTGACAGCAGAAAAGAAAAGAAATAAAGGGTTTAATTTCACCGCATTCTCCTGTGACTCATATTCTGGAATCTATTAGTTGTCATGGTACAGAAATTCAAGAGCTCATTCAAAGAAACAGAAGGCCTCTCAGTTTTTCACTTTGAATATACATAAGGAAGGCTATGAAGTAATGGATAGAGAAGAATGGCATGTATTGTCAAAAACAAACATTAGCAAAATGGTGGTGTATTTGCCATAGGATAATCAAAAAGTGGTTATTTAAATATGGAATGGACTCATACAATTTGAGGTTTTTAAACAAGTCATGGAAGGGTTGTTATTTTACCAGTTGTGAGAAGGGAAGTAAATCCTTGAGCAAAGTGGTTCCCAACCTTTGGTCCTCCAGGTGTTTTGGACTTCAGCTGTCAGAAATCCCAGCCATCTTACCAGCTGTTTGGGATTGTGGGAGCTGAAGTCCAAAACACCTGGAGGATCAAATGTTGAGTACCACTGCATCCTCATGAAGCCAGTTGCATAATGATGACATCAGTGCTATGTTTATTTATTATATAAGTCCCAGAAGGGGACTCAAGGTGGCTTACATATAAGCAATTATTCAATGCCTTAAAACACATACGATTCCAATACCATTTCTTCAATGCCTTAAAACACATATGATTCCTATAACATTTATTAAAAATAAATTAAAATTAATACATATTAAGCATTTAAAACATTCAATTCCTTATTAAAATCACACCATCCATAACTGTAGTCCAAGCCATTCCATAGTCATTACACATATTCCAAATCTGTTATTGCACTGCACTATTCTCCGAAGAACTGATTCCAAAGCCAAGTTTTTACCTTTCATCTGAAAGCTAGGAGGGAGGGGGCTGATCTAATTTAGCTAAGGAGGGAGTTCCACAGCTGAAGGCCCTGTCTCTTCTCCCCACCAATCACATTAACGAGGAAGGCAGGACCGAGAGCAGGGCCTCCCCAGGTGATCTTAATCTCCAAGGTGGTTCTTAGGGAGAGATACGTTTGGACAGGTAAGCTGGGTTAGAACCATTTAGGGCTTTATAGGCTAAAGTTAGCACTTTGAATTGTGCTTGGTAGCAGACTGGCAGGCAGTGGAGCTGGTGATACAGGAGGGATGTCCTCTCTCTGTATGCTGCTTTGGTGATTAACCTGGCTGCTGCCCATTGGACCAATGGAAGCTTCCAAACATGCTGTTGGATGGAAATCTGTCATAGGTACTTTTATTGTGCTTTTCCTGCATGGCAAGAGATTGGACAGGATGGACCATAAGGTTATGATTCTATGATTCTTCCCCCCGCCCCTCATAATCCACCTGCTTCCCCCGAAAGGTTGCTTATCCAACATAAACGGGCCGGCAGAAGGTTGAATAAGTGAAAATGGTGGATAATAAGGAGGATTAAGGAAAAGCCTATTAAACATCAAATTACATTATGATTTTACAAATTAAGCACCAAAACATCATATTTTACAACAAATTAACAGAAAAAGCAGTTCAATACGCAGTTAAGTTATGTAGTAATTACTGTATTTATGAATTTAGCACCAAAACATTGCAATGTATTGAAACAGCTATGGATCTGGGTGGGAGAAAGACTGCATTGGATAATACAGAACATTGGAAGAGTGAAAGTTGGATAAGCGAGAGCCTACTGTAATTCTCTGGGGACATTGCCATATATTCTTGTTTAGTGCTAGTATGAGCTGTCACATCCATACTAATCTCAAAATTATATAAGTTATACATATTATATAAACGATTGAAATGTCAACAACGATATGCAAAAATGTAACGCAATATAGAAGAAATTCTCCACTTACTTTCTATTTGTGAATGTAGATCATTGACTATCACTTGTAGCTGCCCAATTGTCATATCTCTCAGGTCTGTGGGTTTTAAACTTCTTTTCATCAAGCATTCACTTATATGAGGCATATGTGGCAACTAAAATTTACAGAGAGAAAAAATAACCTTAGGCTGGTATCGTTACACATTTTTGCAAAAGCAAATACTCTAAATAGATGTTTTATATACTGTAAGAAAAACAGCACTGCATGGCTTTTACATATGTAACATGTCAGTATGATACACGATGCTACAATGTTTTATATATATGTGGAGCAGGTTGAACCGTTGAGCTGCTGAACTTGCTGACTGAAAGATCAGTGGTTCAAATCCAGGTAGCGGGGTGAGCTCCCGCTGTTAGCCTCAGCTCTTAATCTAAATGTGAGTAGATCAATATGAAACTGCTCCAGCAGCAAGATAATGGCACTCCATGCAGTCCTGCTGGCCACATAACCTTGGAGGTGTCTACGGATAACCCCGGCTCTTCGGCTTCAAAATGGAGAAGAGCGCTACCTTCCAGAGTTGGACACGACTAGACTTAATGTCAAGGGGAAACCTTTACCTTTTATTACAGTTTTGCGTTAGATGAGTAATATTACAAGGATAAAGAAAAAGTTCCCAAATCTACTAGAATCGTACACTAACAATAGTATTGTTATTGTTGAGTGCCTTCAAGCCAACTCTGACTTACAGTGATGCTATTGTAGAGGTATCTTGGGAAGATTTATTCAGAGGAGGTTTGCCATTGCCTTCCCAAAAGCTGAGGGAGTGTGATTTGCCCAAGACCAAAAGTATGATTGAAAAAGGATTTGAAACCTGATGTCTCACATCCTAATTAAATACTCAAAACACAATACCATGCTGGATGCTGAACCATGTTCTAGCCAAATCTATAATTACATAGCCTCCAACATTTCATAAATGAAAAGTAGGGCAAATATGTCTAAACAAAACTGGGATATTTTAAAAACAGCCGAACAAGTGGGATAGCTAGAATTAATCATGACTGTCATTGCCAATTTGGAACAACTGGAGGGTTTGCATTTAAAGTGAATGACATGGTGTAGTTTCACCAACTGGATGGCCCCTATGAGGGTCTGCCTCCAGGGGCAAACCAAGAATGGGAAACCTGAACAGACTCAGAAGTGGAGTGAGTAGATCAAAAGAAAACCTGGAAAAATTGCACTACCTAGAAGAATCCTCCACCTTGTGCGACTGTGGAGCAGAACAAACAAGTCCACACCTGTAGGCTTGCTCACAATGCCCTGTCTCACACACAGCTTCAAAGTCATACCACCAGGCATCGAGGAAGCTGGAAACAGGAAGCTTAATATACATGATTTCTTAACCTTCCCCCAGAAGTGCAAAACGTGGTAAGTGACAAACCACAACACAATGGCCTATTAGCACAGTGTACCAACAGGGGTCCAGTCTCTGATTTTGTGGAACAGAAATGTAGACTATATAATGGCATGAAATGTATTTTCCTTGCATAATTCACTCCATGTTTGTGTTTAAAACTTGCTTCTAAAAAAAGTGAAGCTACAAGATTTTCTAAATACTCTAAAGGATTTACAGCTATTCAAGTCACCCTGGAGAAGCAAAACAATTAGAAGACACTGAGGTTTAAAAATATGTATATATATAAAAATACATACAAGATCAGCTACTGGAGATTTTTTCCTGTTCTGTTTTTCCACCTCTACTTGCATTTTGGCCATTGGTTTTGCCATTGCCAATGCCATTTTGGCTTCAGCCTGAAGTTTCTTTTGTCTTGTGAGAAAATCCATGTCATCCAGAGACTCTGATTCCTCTTCGGTGGTGTCTCTGTCAGAATAGGAAGAGCTCTGCTTGCTCTGGAAAGTAGACAACACAGAGATGTCAGCTCTATGGCTGGACATATGCAAACAAGTATGTCTGATTCAACAATGGATCAGCCACTTAAAATAACATTAGCACTTTCATAACCTGAACGAGCTTTGAATTTGCTCCTGTGAGCTAGAAACAAACCAATTCATTCATTTGGATGAACTGGGTCTACGACTGATTCACTGCCATGGAATGGAAACAAGCTGCCTGCTATCCTTGAATAAACAGAAGAGTTAATAATTTGATTATTTTACCTTGTCTTAATGTCCAGCACAAATATTTTGGGTATCAGGGCTGGCTTTATCTGAGATATTAGAGAGTTGCTCCAAGACTTAACATTGGGTTAAGATAGATGGGATTACTGGATTATAAACTGAATTATATAGCAGTGTAGAAGGGGCTTAGACGGATTACTGTATGCCCTTCTACACTGCCATATAATCCAGTTTATCAAATCAGATAATCTACATTATCTGCTTTGAATTGGATTATATGAGTCTACATTGCCATATAATCCAGTTCAAAGTAGATAATCTGGATTTTATATGGCAGTGTAGTTTCTTAGTATAATTACTCTGAAAACTATATCCGCTTGCCAGATTAAATGGCCAAACCTATGAGCCAATACTTTCCTTACATTATTTTTAAATGGCTTTAAGATTGGCCACATAGTCTGTCTGAAAAGCCTGAACACTTACCTCTTTCATGCATGTAATAACCTCTAATGAAAAGTGAAGACTACACTGCTTATTACAGGTTGTAACACAATAGCCTTACCACCACTTTCTTGAAGTAAATTTGTAGCAATGGCACTCTATTTGAATAGCCTACAATGTAAAATCAGGCAGGTTCCTGAGATTCTCTAAGCCCCCTTCCACACAGCTGAATAAAATACTACATTTTCTGCTTTGAACTGGGATATATGGCAGTGTGGACTCAGATAAACCAGTTTAAAGCAGATATCGTGGGGTTTTCTGCCTTGATATTCTCAGTTATATGGCTGTGTGGAAGGGCTGTGAGATTGCAAATGAGACTCACCATGGGGGATAAAGGTGTATCCAGACTTGTTTCAGTCTTGCTGTCGTCGGCATCGCTGTCTTTGTCACTGCCACTGTCATTTACAAAACATATTTGCAGATTCATCCCACTTTGTAACCTTGGGGTTGGGAAGACAAGAGAAAGTAGATTATCACTTTCTGTTATGAAACCATTGCAGAATTAACATTTTCTCCAGATAGGATTATTTCAATCTTCTATATATCTACAGAAAACACTGGTCCAAATGAGTCAAGGCATTTAGACTGCAATCCTATACATGTTTACTTGGTTATAAATACTGACTATAGGGTCTGTTATTAAATCTCTTTACCAGCTTGGCTTCATCAGCAGTGAGGAACCTATGGCATTCCAGATGTTTTGGGCTCTAGGTCCCATTAGTCTCAGTCACCATGGCCAACAGTCAGGGATAATGAGAGTAGAGTCCAGCAACATCTGGAGAGCCCCAGGATGCTTAGAGAAATTACACAGAAACTGTAAGTGGAATAGTAATTTCCTGTTTAAAAAAGAAGAAATCAATCTAGTCGTCTTCTTCAGTATTTACTGCTCTGTTGTACATGTTACAGCACTTTAGACAAATAAAGGCAAGTAAGTAATTTTTAAAACTGCCATGCAGGAGAACTCTATCACTCTTTAATGCTCTCTATGCTGCGAACAGCTTCTCCCGTTCAATATATCAAGCAATTTCTCCACACTCCACCCCCAGACACAGTTTTTCAGCAAAACTTCTCTGAGCAACCCTTTTCCCACCCACCTCTATGTAACCTTTCCCACTCAGCTCCCATTATTCATCTGTCAACAATATCATGTCACCATCTGTTGTTGGGTTGCCCAGGGAAGATTGTGAATCCTTGAGAAAGGAGCTGCCTGACTTCTGTTAATGAAAGAAGATTCTAGTTTGCAGCCAGTGCAATGTATCAGCAATAAGAGCACAGGCAACTCTTTGCCAAATATTGTATCTCTGACTTCTGCGAAGAAGGGTAACATTATTGGAAGTACTTTGATTGTGTATTCCTGCATGGCATGAGGTTAGACTGGATGGCTCTTGTGGTCTTTTTCAACTCTATGTTTCGATTACTGCTTTATATTTCACAAGAAGTGGATTTTCAAGGTTAAAACACAATAAAGATTACAATAAATATATAGATATATATCTTTGTCACATTGAAATTATAATGTTTGGTCCCACTATAGCTATACTTTTATCCTACAAAACCTTAGATTTGTCATTTGGTGAAGCACTTGCACTCTCTGGACAAAAATCCTTACTTACTCATAAAACTACAAATCCCATGATTTGAAGTGGCATCAAAATATTATAATGGTGTAGTATGGAACAAAACGCATCAGTATATAATGGCAGTCACAACACAGTCAGCAAATATCAAAACAACCCATGCTTTTACCAACTTTGTCATCCTGACAGTAAATGCTGGCCAGCTTCCCCATGAAGCAGATCCAACGAAAGAAGCCATCATTGAAATGTCCTGTTCTTTCTAACCCTCACTTAATAAACAGGGTGTGGGAAATTTTAAACATGGTTTTTCCACCAAGACTCACAGGGGTTTAAACTGCCATTGAATATCATATGCTGTAACTATATTTCAGAGGGGAGCACTGACAAAATCATCTCTGAGTATTCCTTGCCCAAGAAAATCCAATGAAATTCACAAGGTCACCATAAGTTGATAGTTGACTTGAAGACACAGACTCAATGTTTCTGCCAGGAACTACTTTGGCTTGAAGTGGAAGCCTTTGGTGCCCCATTGTGGTGATCCGCTAAAATGCATCCTGAAGCCTCTGGAATCTGCACATTTTGGTTGATGGTTGGCTACTACTGGACTGGAAGGGTTCCTTTTCACTTAACCTTTGCCCAGCTAATAATGCCTTTTGACCTCATCAGATGGGTTGATTTGCCTGTTGTATGCTGCTTGCTCTCCACTTTTGACAGGGAGCCCATTACCCAAATGCACAGGGACTTCTAACTGGGCTCCATGATGAAAGAAGAGAGCAAGCGGCATACATTGCTGCAGTGGCAACACAGGAGGCTTTTCATATTGTCTTTGGAGCAATGGAGGGAAGCCAGGTAGTGATGCTCCCCCCCCCCATGGTAAGTAAGGTGATGCAGGGTGTGGAAAGACAGGTTCTCGAGATCCCCCCCCCCCCGGACCCCATAGACTCACCACAATGTGTAGCAAATCCATAGCCCTTTGTGATGAAGTCCTTTCTCAGCTTTTTCATGTTATGTATTCTTTGGGCTAGACTTTCCCCTGACTGCTGGTTTGCCCTTTTGTCTTGCTGATTGGATGATTTCTCATCATCATCACCATCATCACCATCCTTATCACAGGATAGTCTCATGGCTTGAAGTTTTCAGTTGCTGCTCACCAGAGACTGCTGTTAATATACCTACCATGAAATCAAGGGCTCTTGAAAGCTATAGTAGTCTAATGAAAGGTTCTGGATGCAGATCTGGAGGCGAAAGTTAACAGTTCCACCCTCTCCTTCTCATATCTATCTGCTCTCATGATGAAACTTGATAAACAATGTATTGCAGAGTGGAATAAAGTTAAATGAACCAGAAAAGACTTCCATGTATTGTTGGGACTATTACTCTTCCCATCGTCAGCTATGCTGATGAGATGTACAGATTAACACCTGGTAGAGGCAACACATTCCACAATCCCACCTTGGAGCCATATGTAAATACAATATTTTGCATATTTTTATTATAAAATCAATTTTCTATTCTGGTCACAATTTGCCCTGTTTTAATTATCTCCCCACTTCTATTTAGTCAGCATTTTTCTATACTACCAATGAATGTTAGATTTAATGGCTCTGTCTCTGATCTGGGACAATCAACCAAATGCATGCTAGGATGGTGTGGAGAGATTGAGGGTGAATTATGTGACATAATATCAAGGTGCAGTGGATACCATCAGCGGGGTAGAAAGATACAACTCAGACATATACCAATAAGAATACCCTGATAGTAGCTCTTACTACAACTACTCTTTTTTTCTTTTTTCTTTTAGTGTCAGGAGTGACTTGAGCAAGATACAAAGAGAGGTAAAGTTACGAATATGAAAAACTACCACAGCACCACTTTATCCCTGTGGAAAAGTAGGTAGGCCTTCTTATGCATTAAATCCTGTAATTCTTTTAGCTTCTCTTGTTGACTTAATTATAAGGAATACAACACTGCAGCTAAGAGCTGAGAAAAGGCTCTTGGCATAAGAGCTTTGTAAATCTTTAAATGGGTTTAGGTTTCAGTGTGTTTGCTGGACTCTGAGGTCAGTTGCTAGAAATATATCTTTAAATACACCCCACCCCTCCAATATACAGACAGTCCCCAAGTTACAAACAAGTTCTGTAAGTTTGTTCTTAAATTGAATTTGTTGTCACAGTCAGAACAGGTACATTTTTGAAGTGTAACTCCAGTCAAAATATGTATTTATTAGCTTTGAATAGCATATGGAAGGGTTAACACTTCTGAGGTGTTTGTTTTGCTGCCTGTGCCCATGTTCAGAAAATTTTCCCTCATTTTCAGTCCCTGAGATAATTGGATTTTGAAAAAAATGGCTTGTTGTGGAAACAAGGATAGGCGAGAAAGCTTCAGTGGAGAGACCTTTTCCCTATGATAACTCTTTCAGGAGTGAATTTCCCTTCCTGGGGTAGATTTCTTTCACTTCCTGTTGTCTCATCCCCATTCTTAACTATGAGTCATTTGTAAGTCAGATGTTTGTAACTTGAGGACTGCCTGTACTGTGTATTTCATATCTGAACCAAGAATGAATTACACCCTGCAACACAGGGCTGAAAGCGAGGTTCTGACAACCACAGAGTACTGCATTGAAATTTTACATTCTCCAAGGGTTGTGTTTATGGAAAATTAAACAGGATCAAAACAATATATATTATGCTCAACAAGAAACTGCTGCTGTTTAGTTCTCTCCCTGATTGTTGTGCACAGTGCCGCTTACCCAGCATCACGACATGAGCACATTGCATGTTTTCCATCACCAGCTGCTGCTGGTAGGAGTGGGACATTATAACAAGTGCAAGAGACGACACACATCATGGTGGGAGAATATAAGAACTGTTCTCTTTTATTTTTATCGAGAATATGAACACCCTCTGCCTCCTTCAGGTGACAGAATACAGGGAAACTGCTTTTAGTGGAATTTAGGGCAGCCTCATGACTTCCTTTACTAAGGGCAGGCCTCTATTTGAAGATGTCCTCCTTTATTTGAGCAGCTCACCCAATCTGATTCAAGTAGAATGACAAAGAATCAGAGAAATCAGAAAGGGTCTTGAAGATGTCTTTCAAAAATAAGCACCTGGACAGCAGCTGGATGCCTGAATTGTACACATATATAGAAGAAAAATCCAAAGAGCTATAGGCAATCAGTGTTAGCAATACTGGGCTAAGCAAACCAAAGTTCTGTCCCAGTATAAGGCAGCCTCCTACGGAATTATTTTCCCTCTGATTCTCCCTTAACTCGGAATCAAAGGGAGTTACACAAAGCCATCCACTTGAGTTTCATTTCATTTACAGTTGGAAAGTCATATGGATGTTTGTGTTACGTATGCTGGTTTATTATTATGACACTCTGGGATCTTCTCAGCTAGACAGATAGATAATTTACTGGGTTACTTTAACAAAGCCATTTCCAAGCTGTAGCTGTTCTAAATTTGGAAGTCTAAAATGCCACAATCATTCTGAGAAAATGAATAGAAAAACTATGCATGTAAATAATAGACGTCCCTACAGTGGAAACAGTTTAATGCTTGAGTAAACAACTTCTTGCATATCCAATTTGTCGTTCCATTTTGATCCATAGGTGTCCATAAAAATGGAAAGCAAGCAATAGACCTGTTCCTGTTAACACCATTTTGGAGAGATATGACCAGCTGCTATTGGCCATGTGTCTAAGAATAATTTTCTACTCGCCTGATCAGCCCTAAGTCTCTTTTGCAATAAAAGATGAAAGCCACCAATTTCAAAAGAAATTTCTTTACACTCAAAGCTGCCTATCATTTTTCTAGATTAAACCCTATAATATCTGTCAATGCTCTTAATAAAACCCAAGTCTA